AATAATAATAATCATATAATTAAAACCTCATTTAATATTTAATTACTTCTGCGATTTTAGATATTTAAATATTGAAGTGCAAATATGAGCGCATTCGGCTTTTGATGTTTTATCATTTCTGCAGATTTAATTTTCTTATGTACGCATCGGGTCCACAGTAATGAAAAGACAACAATTGTGCCTAGGAATCTCGTCGGTCGAGAATTAAGTGTCTCACCGATAGGGTCGACGTGTGTTATGTGATCGACGAAATCCCTCTTGCCGAGGTACACCGTGATTTTTCCATTGAGGCTAGACTTCTTGAAGACACGGGTAGCTTGCCGCTTGCTGGCACCGTCCACTGTGTCCATCGCGCAGATCCCGGGGCTGACGATGGCCCCTAACTCATTTGAGTCCTCAGCCTCCGAACACTCCGACTCCGAACTGTCTCTCTACGCAGAAAAAAAAAAAAAGGATATCGAATATTAACTTTGAGGTGTATAAAATATTTCTTCATCAAAAGTTCATATTGAGTTATAAATTAGATATTTCTTCGATTTGCGTGAATTCTTGGAAAGTACGAGGGTGCTTCGAATTGAACTTTAATATCGCCTACGACTCTGGTTCAATATTTCATTTCCATTTACGAGTTTTCGTCCAAACGCATTTTAAAATCCCAAGAGATATTCCAGACATTCGTAATTATTCATGAATTACCATTTAATATTTTTTAATATTTATAATAATTTATATTTATTTAATATTTATAAAAGGTGAACGTAATATGCAGAGGCGTAGTATAAAAAATATGAGAACAGTAAAAGAAAGTTGGATCATTTTTTTTTAACTTGACAATTATATTTTGCGTAAATCATTACTCGGTGAATTGAACGTTTCAACGAAATTGCACCGGAATGGCAGTGGAATGCCTCTGTGGACGAACGGTACGCAGGCTCGTACGCACTGCGAATCAACAAAGCAACCGCATATCGTAATGCACTCCAAAAAGGACGTTCGTCATCGTTCTTTGAGAACGGCCTATGTATGTGCGCGTAAAACGGCTCTTTGATCGTCAAAGAAAACAGAGTCGGAGAGAAAGAGGACTCGTTTCAAAAGGGAATGTCAATGATACGTTTATGTCGTCCCCTTCTCGACGCGATCAAAGCCCACGGCACGGACTTTCTTCCGGGGAGAGATTTTCGGAGATTCTTTTGTATATTTGTCGCGCCGCGTAGGAACTTGAAAAATTGAGCCGCGTTTGATACATCGTACGTAAAAAAAAAAAAAGAAATGAATATTTTGAGGAGTATTCGGAGCATAAAAAGTGTTAACAGGTATCGACATTATTACGATTTTTAACGTAGATGTACAAACAACAAATGAAACAATTTTCATTATCCACGAACAAAGTTTTACAACACCGACAGATCACTGTGATTACGTAATGCAATTGCGTTTGCTAATCGCGAATGATGATTGGTATCTTAATTCACCTTCGCCATGATTCACAGTTTTTCCCTCTTTTATCCAAGAACCGGAAAGTAATCTAATCGCGATGACCGGAGTGTGCACTCGTTCGAAATCAGCGGATAAACCGGATTTTCAGGAACTTTTTATATCATCGGCGATATCGCGTTTCGCGAATTCGCGATCACAATTTGCAATCGTCAACGAGCATCGTTTCCTTTCATGTCACCACTGCGCGAAGACATGCAACGAGCAACGTTCCAACGGCGAAACCTCGCGGCCCTAGCGAATGCCGAGCACCGACTAGACGGATCTTGACAAATGGATGTCAATTTCAATCGACGCTTGTGACTCTTAACGCGATCTACGCCACGATCTCTGCGCCCGTTCGAGCGAACTCCGTCTCCGACCTCTCTCGCGAATCACGGATAACGATATTATTGCGGCGAGAAATTTGCCTTTCCGGGAAACAGAAATTGCTTTTCCGCGACAGGTTTTAACGCGAATATTACAGGTGCCAGCTGGTATGAAAGGGGAACGCGTATATCGCAATTATTTTTAAATTCCCTTAGCGAGAAAATAATATTTAACACGGACGTTTAATTCCGAACAATTTTCGAAACGACGCACTGTTCGATTTTTTTATCTCTCTTCCCTGTAACTCGCGACACGATTTCTCTAAAATAAAAGATAAGATTGTTCTTATCTAAATTTTTTTTCGCTACATAAAAATGTCTCTCTTCTCGTAGCCGTTGCGCGGTTACAGCTACGCGGGAATAGGAGCGAGTCTATTTCGAATGTTGCTTTTTGCTCGGCCATAGGATTACCGTGGCACAATGGGGCGATAGATTTAGTGGCTGGCTTGGATTAAACGACTGTTCAGCTGAACACATTCTGCAGCACGTGAGCGATATAAAAGACCCACCGCTGCGACTGGCCGTGCACGCGTTACGTGCTCTTGACGCAACAAACGTCAGAAAATGGAACGCGACTGCTTAACATTGATAACAGTTCGCAGTCCACGTAATTCCGCTTTCCAGCTGACGTCTAATCGCGCCACGATCGACGATTTCATTCATGTTACTGATAAATCGCGTACCAGAGTCACTCTTAATTTCGATTATTCATCCGAATTAAACGCAATAATAATATGAAATATTTTTGTATAAAATTCTTCTTATTAGAATTTTTATACGTGCGTATAAAAAATTAATTGATTCGAAAGTGCCTCCAATTTGCAATTCATTTCGACGTTAAAAGGCAAGTTTTATAGACTGCGTTTCGCTGCAGCGAAAGACTCGTCTTCTTTAAAGTTGCTGCAATTCAATAGTCGAGACGGTGGAACTCGCGGTCGAAACTAGATTAGCGCGCGACGGAAAAACACGAGCGAAGCTCGTCGCTACTAGAAAACCCAACAAACTTGATAAACCCATCAATTTCGTTTGATTAGCAATTAGGAAAAAATCGATACGAAGATTCCCACTTTCATCTGGGAAAATAATTTCTCTGAAACGTCGGAATAATCCATTAAACGGATGAAATCTCGAGTGTGCACTCTTTTCTTAGTAATGAGAGATATATCAGACAGCTGAGACAGTCTTAAAACCGAACTGAACAGAAAGAGGAAAATCCAGGAATCCGCCTTTGTGGGAAAAGACTTTTTACCTGCGATTTCCACTTCGGAGTCTCTATTAATAAATCACGAACTTTTTCTAATACGAATTCATATAATGAAGCTCGGCTCATTGCATTTATAGCTGTGGGGTGAAAAGTTCGTTAGAGCCACAGAGAGCGACTAAATCGTATAGCTATAATAGCTAATTCAGTTTGGCGTAACTGCATAATTGGATCGTCTCGATTCGCATAAATGATGGGAATCCAACGTCATTTTCGAACGGCACGCTCGTGCGGAATCATACTAATTACGTCACGAGCATAATTTCATACCTGAATAGGGAGAGAGAGAGACACTCGGAGCAATCAACTCGAACTTGGCTCCCGCGTGGGAACACTCGAAACGTACTTATGTTTGCGCACTTCAAACGAAACGTGAACAGTGCATTTCGAACGGATCCGACAATTTTGATAACCCTCCTACTATTCGTTCCACGTTCCGTTTCTAGTCTGTCTGGATAACAGACACTTGAAACGTTTTAAGTGGAAACCATTTCCAAATAACGTGATTTCGATGATAATTCACGAGACGATCCTAACAAGAATTAATTAGTATATTTTAGCATCTTAAATGCAAAGAAGATAAACGAACGACTCCTTAACAGCAATTAGATTTTATTGTAAACGAAAAGAAATTATTACACGTCTGCTTTTCTTCGAGTCTCGTTGACAATTATTAGACTTGACAACGATAATAGCAATGACATGAATGCTCCGTATAAAAAATCTATATTCCTGGTTTTCGACTAGATTTTATATAAGGAATCATCCCATTGTACCACGATTTCACGAACACCCTGTATAAATTAATTCCTGTTATGATTTCGAGTTAGAAAATTATCCTAATTAATTCGTGAAACACAGGAGTGATTAATTTGCATTTTAATTAATGTTAATTACAAATGAAAGGAAAAAGGGATTTTCGGGCGTTATTATTTCTGCTTTGAAAGACGCGTTTTGATGCGGCACGGGGAGTTTGCACGACGACCACGAACAGAGTTCGTGCACGTGCGTGCAACGAGGACGCAGAAAAGAGGTAATGGAGGTTGCGGCATGCTAAATTGCAGAATTTATTAGTTATTATCAGGTACCTACATGCGCTCGTTCTCGCATGTGTGTCGTTTACGAGACGCGCTCGCATAAAGGGCGGGACGTTGTCGTTTAAATTGCCTCGCAATCGTTCAACCTTCCTTAGCATCGGGGAGCGAACTAATATTTTGCTAAAAGTACACCGGAGTTATTGATTTCTAAGCCAATTAACCAACACCGCGATTAATTGAATAATGAAATTCTGTATATTCTTAACAAAAC